AGGGAGGGAGGGAGCAAAAGGAAGGGAACATAGAAAATCGATGACCAACATCAACAAAAATAAATAAATAAATAAATAAATAAAAGAGAAATGTCAAGTAAAAAAAGAAAAAAAAGAAAAAGAAAGAAAAAGAAATTGAGAGGGGGGAAATATCCGAGAGAGAGAAAATGTCAGAGCATCAGGCAGCAGGCTCCGAGCACGGGGATAAGAGGCGCCGGCTCTCCCCAGCAAGCAGCCGAGCGACCAAGTGGAGCAATCCCCGCCCAAACTACATCATCTTCACATCATATCACATCGCCGTCTTGGCCGAGTCCAGAACCCGAGGCCGCGCGCTAACCCGACCTTTTTAAAGACTCCTTAAAGGCGCTGTTGGCTTTACGAGCGGGAAGGGGAGAGAGGGGAAACGAGGGGAGAAGAGAGGAAGGGGAAGTGGAAGGAGAGAGGGAGATGGAGAGAGGGAGATGGAGAGAGGGAGAGGGAGATGGAGAGGGAGATGGAGAGGGAGGGAGGGAGGGAGGGAGGGAGAGGGAGAGATAGATAGATAGATAGATAGATAGATAGATAGATAGATAGAGAGAGAGAGAGAGAAAAGGGAAGAAGAGAGTTCGTTGCCTTTAACTCCTCTTGTCGCCGTGCGGGCCACCGAAATACAATTTTTACGCGGGGGGAAAGAGGAAAAAAACTGTGGAAAACGGGGGTTGAAGGAAAGCATAGAAGGGAATAGGAAGAGCAAAGAGGAGAGGAAGTAGAAGGGAGAGAGAGAGAGGGCGAGGGCGAGGGAGAGGAAGAGGGTGGGGGAGGGGGGTCAGGAGAAGGTGGAGGACGACAATCGATTAGCACACAGTGGTGGGCCGCTTTCCGCCGCCATGCCCTATAACGTGTGTCCTCTCGGCAAACAAGTGCTTGCCTACCTCATCTCTCGAGCTATTCCCCTCGCTAATCCTTCAGCTACCATGGCATTCCCTGGGTCTCAGTCAAACAAGCAAACAAACAAACCACGCCTCCCCCGCGCCACCCAGTCTATAACAAAGTCTCGTTACACCACTAGTATCCCCCTCCCCCCTCCCTCCCGAAGAAGCAAGCAGCCTACGAAGGAGGCGTCGAGTAAGCCGGCTTATTCTTGGACAGCCGCGAAGCCCTGCGGACGACACCCAAAATACGGATGCGGCCACAATGAAGTCACAAGGCGAGATCCTTCCACGCGAAGTGTCACCGCCGAGCAAATACCGCCCCGCGCGACGTGATCTGCTTTCACTGCAAACAATGCACGGAATACCCTGCCAAGGAGCACGACCGGGGGACACTGAATGGCTTGCTGGCTGCTTCGTGCGTCTACCTGGGAGATTCCCTCGTCGTTGGTTTCCCTGCGTTTTTGGCCTGTTGGATTGCTTATTTATCACCGTGTCTATCGACCACTCTCATCTGCCCGCCGACCCACAAGCCCGCCTGTCCTCCGCATGTTTACCTGCCTGTTTACGCAATTTCTTTTCCCGCTCGTCTGGCCTCGTTTAAAGAGCAACGCCACCCGGTATGAAGTTAAGAAGCCTATCAAGTGCGATGACACATGATCTGCCAGCAGCACAGATTGTGGATTAAGCAAAACTGGCCGCTTGCTCTCCCAATACCCGCCGTGTTCAGATTGGAGCTTTTCGTTCAAGGCCTCTCTCCAGGGCAGCTTCTTACAATCAGACTGGAAGGCCACAATACATGTGGAAAAACACGACGCTTTCCTCGCACTGTCTTTTAACACTATACGAGATGGACTGAGAAGAAATACAAAATACATTCCATCCCTATCCCACTTCCGAAATTGCTTCCTCTTCTCACTGACCTCCCTCAACAGTATGTGGCTGGCATGCCCGAAAGACAAGAGAGAATAAACAGCCCGAGAGACAGAGAATAAACAGCCCAAGAGACAAGAGAGAATAAACAGACGGAGCAAAACGCTGGCATGAGAAGCACACGAGAGGACAATGAGGGAATGATGATGACAAAAGGGGCAGAACGTGTGACACTGGGAGAAGCCCAGATTAACAGGCCGCGCCACTTAATGCTCCCCGACACTTCCTAATCCATACCCACGTTTGCAACTCGCCCAACTCCAGCCATCTCGTTCCGCCCCCCCCCCCATTACCACCGACTGTACCAGCTGCACAAAGATACGCTCGAAAATCACCGATAACCGGAAAATACAAGTCCGCTCTTCCTTCCCTTCCTACCCCCCCCCCTCCTCTCACTCCGCTTCCCCCAATCAGCGAGCGGCAACTAAAGCACCATCAATAACTACGGCCGGGACCACGGGCAAGAGAGGGGAGGGAGAGGGGAGGGAGAGGGGAGGGAGAGGAGAGGGAGAGGGGAGGGAGAGGGGGAGCATGCAGGTATGTGTTTTCGAGTGAACGGCGTAGGTCCGGGCACGGGGCAATATCGGGGGCAAGCACGGACGAGGGACAGGGCAGGGCGGGCGGGTGGGGGAGGAGTTGAAGCAAGCGAGAGGGCGGGCGGGCAACAACAACGGCGTCGGTGTCAACATATGCACAAGGCGAGTAGCAGTAAATAAAGTGGCGCGGTGGATATCAATGTTTACTGTTGTGCGGTCGTGTGGCGGCCGGCCCTCCCGCGCCCTCTGCCAGCCGTACGACCCAGCAGCCGCCACCGCCGCTGCCATCAGGGTCCGCCAGTCTGCCAGCCAGCCAGCCAGCCAGCCAGCCAGCCAGCCAGCCAACAGCCAGCGATGAGGGGCGTGGGGTGAGGGTCGCCGAGGGGGTTCCAGGTTAGCCGTGGAGGGGCGAGGTGGTGGGGAGGCGGGGAGGGAACGGGAGATAGAGGGGTAAGGAGGGTCCCGCCACCACCATCCATTACATAGCCGGCCGGCGCGTGATGCACTATGCCATAACGTACCTAACATGGAGGAGTGGAAAGAGAGAGAGAGAGAGAGCAAAGAGGAGTAAGAAAAGGCGAGGGATAAGGGAGAGAAGGTGGTGGCCTGTCTCTCCCCGCCCGCACGCCCACGCCTGCGTCACCTGGTGCCGTCCCCATACTATCACCTCGCCCTGTGGTCCTTAGGGCAAGTGATCAGAGTAACTGGCCTCGAACGAACTTGTGTGGGCCGGGATGAGTGATGGCTCCTTCGCCGCCGCCATTCTCGTCCAGACTGCCCATCACTACGCAAATAAAGACGCGGTCACACGGGCATGCGGACCGGCACTGGCACGCGTAAGATTGCGCTGGTGTTACAGAGGTAAGCGAGTCAAAATCATGTAGGTAATAAAAAGGTAATAATGTACAATACACGGCAAGAAAATGCCACAGGAAACATAAAAGGAAAGTAAGGCAAGAATGTGTTAGACCTGACATACCCTGGCGTGACACAGCATACTGTCCCCCTCCTCCCTGATCTCCCCCCCTCTCCCCAGTCTGTATCCTTCCTTTCTGCACCCTCCAACGCGGCGTCCCCCCACCCCCTCCGCCTGCCTGCCTGCCTGCCTGCCTGCCTGCCTGCCTCTCTCTCTCTCTCTCTCTCTCTCTCTCTCTCTCTCTCTCTCTCTCTCTCTCTCTCTCTCTCTCTCTCTCATTAATCGGTAATAAGAAAGCCTGACAGACTCACCGGACACAGACACGGGGAGATTGGGGCCGAGGCTAAGTACACGCACATCAGGCCGCTGATAGCATTGCACCGCCACGCTGATATTTAATCAAACCTCGTGAGCCTGGTATGAACTGGTCGGGTGGGTGGGGTGAACTGGGGATCTGGAGCTGGGGAGGGGCGGGGGTTTTAAAGCTGCGGTGCAGCGTGCGGAGTGCAACAAGAGCAGCAGCAAGAGCGCTTTGCAAGGCTACCCATGCAACAACAGAAACAGCAGTCGCGCACACGCACCAAGACATTGCAACATGTACAGTAGATGTAACTGCAGACAACAATATTAACAATGTTACGCATTTTAAAATTACTACCTAGAAATGAAGCCACTAGTAAACAAAATAGGGGCGAAAGAAAGTGCACGAAGAGATGATGGTAGGGTCTACGTAGCTGTCAATATAAACTCACATACGTATAGCCAAGATATTATATGGCTGTTCTGAAATGTTTCCTTGAATAAACGGAAAGCAAACAGGAATAAACAAAAAATAAATTTACGAAAATGTGCACCAATACATTCACAGGCAGACAGATTCGTCTCCTTGAGTCACGGCGGTAAGGTAGCAGGGAACAAGAGAGGAAGAGGGGAAAAAGAGGGAAAAGAGGCAAGAGTGGAGAACTAATGTCGCGAGGCGAAAGGAGTGCGATGATATCACGATAAACAAAGGCTAGCAGACTGAAAGCACGAGTAAAGTTGAGCGGAAGGCTGAGGGATACTAAAGGTGAGGTGAAGGGGGGAGGATAGTGACGTGATTTGTGCAGCGAGTGGACGAGTAACTGTGGGTGAGTGTTTGACTCCTCAGTGAGTGAATATCGTTAGATATGCAAACGACTGATGTCCAAAGGGTGGAAGGCCAGCTAGGTGTGAACATCAGAAGTTCGCGGATGAGGACAGGTGGATAAATGAATGGCGATGGGCGAATGAGTGAGAAACACACCCGAGTAGCCGGGAGTACCTCTCAAGCAACAATGAATGAGTGCACAGCTGATGTGATGAGTGAGTGGGGGGGATCGATCTGGAGGGCCCTTGTAACATCTTACACTTTTCCGCCGCGCCTCCACCCCCGCGCCCCGCCCCTAAACCTTCTCCAAAAACAACCGCTGAAGGCATATGCTCCGAGCCTACAGCTGGAAGGACGCCCCGAAGGACCCCACGACCGCCTCACGTCACCGGCAAGCCCGTGACGTACACGACATTGACGTCACGCCGCCCAGAGTTACTAGCCGCCGCCGCCGCCGCGTGTCACCCCCTCCGCACACGACCTTTCGACGCCCTCCGCGACCTACACCTGCATGGCGGGGGTATGCAGCCGCGGCGCCTCGGTGATCCACGGCCGCCCACACTCCGATCTTCAACCGTTGTTTAACCACCCGTTGCCCTCTCGGCTTCCTCAAAACGGCAACTCCCGCCCTTCCCACGCTCGCTCGCGGGGGAGGGACGGGCGGAGAGCATCGCCACTGGGTGTGACGACCGACCCTGCCGCTGCCGGGGGACACGCTCCACCTGGCACTGAAGGATCGCTGCGGCACTCACGAAGACGTGCGACACAAAATTACATTTCCACCCGCGGGATGAAATAATATTAATACTAATACTAATAATAACAATAATAATAATAAAAATAATAAACAAAAAGCCAAAAGACGGCGATCATTAAGAACGGTAAAACATATCACCATTTCCCAGGCCGTCGCAGAGCAGTCAAAGCACTACAACAGGAAGGTTGAATCTCCCTCGAGAAAACCCCACAGTTTAATCCCTCGCCCGTCATCCCCATTTCCCTTCGTCACCCTTAACACTTAGGCGAGAATGAATGAACGGCGACGAGGGTGAAGTATCAACACATGTCCCACTCGCCGCCCCCACCCGACGCCCCCGCCCCTCCTCCTCCTCCTCTGCGCGGGCGGCTGGCGAGCTCCAACGTTTGATCTCACGACAACACGTAATAAAGCTAAAGGGCGGCGCAACGTGACTCGATCCGATGCCATGATTTACCTCTTTGTGTACGAGAGGAGGGGGGAGGGGGGGGGGGAAGCGGTAGAGAGCGCGGCGGGCCTGCACTCACGGAAAGATATAGAACTGAACATACATTGAAACACATGGCCAGCTCTAAATACACATGTAAATGAACGCACAATTATGTGTGTTACATGGCCCAACAAGTTTAGCCCCAACCTGAGTTCCTTTGCAGCCAAACAACCCCCAACCATCTTGACTGTTAAGAGTAGGCCGCGGCGGGAAGGAGGGCAGACGAGAGGGAGAGGGAGAAAAGGAAAAATGATGGGAGGGATGGAAAAAAAAAAGTGGGAGAAAAAGAGAAAGTGTGGGGAGATAGACAGATATATATAGATAGATAGATAGAGATAGAGAGATAGAGAGATAGAGAGATAGAGAGATAGATAGATAGAGAGAGAGAGAGAGAGAGAGAGAGAGAGAGAGAGAGAGAGAGAGAGAGAGAGAGAGAGAGAGAGGGGGGGGGGCAAACAGCCAGCCAGACTCGTGGTGGCGAGCGGGGGGGAGGGGAGGCAGCGGCAGCAGCAGCAGTAGCGGGGAGAGTGAGGGGTGCTGGGGATCAATACGGGGGAGAGTCCAGGGACAGGCACCCCAACCCCCACCCATCCCCACCACTTCCACCAACACACAGGGACACTCAGGAAGGTGGGCGAATGGACACGCGCGCGCACACGCACACGCACACGCACTCGCACTCGCACTCGCACTCGCACTCGCACGCACACACTTCAAGCACCCAGAGAGCGAATCCCTAAACGCTCTTCCATTCCCCCAACCGCGTCACTAATGAGGCGGTGAAGATAAGGTCGAAGACGGTAATAATAATCATTGTCCGCATCGCCCTGTGGTCAATAAAGCGTCGAGAGGAAATCAAGAACGTCGTCCGTCCCTCCTCGGCGCACGGCGGGCCAGGGCGAGGGGAGCGGGCCGAGGGGAATGGAGTAGTAGTTATAAAGCCTAATGCGTGCGTAAAACTCTGCACTTTACAGCCCGCCGGTGGTCGCACATGTTCCGGTCGTGGCGCTTTTGCCTTTTTGTATACTGTACGTGCATGGTCAATGCTCAATGCGTGCACGCGCGAGGGTCTTCATTCCCTCATTCACATTCTTAGTCTCTCTCTCTCTCTCTCTCTCTCTCTCTCTCTCTCTCTCTCTCTCTCTCTCTCTCCAGCAAGCCAAACGAGAGGGAACCGCAGGCTACGGAACAGATTAGTCGCCTCGTTCGCCTAATCCTCCGTGCGGATTCTGTGGCCAAGTACCCCGCGCGCCGATTGGAGGAACGACGGGATTTTTTTTTTTTTTTTTTTTTTTTTTTTTTTTTTGGGGGGGGGGGGTAAATCTGATGGAAGATGAGACGTGAAATGAAGCCACTCTTTCGACTCGCTCCACAGACATAAATGACAACCTTACATCACACGTTTCGAGGAGGAATTTACGGAGGCGAAGGAGGAGAGGGAAGGAAGGAAGAGAGCGAAGTGTGATAGGGATAAGGAGGAGGAGGTTAAGGGGTGGGGAGGATGAGCAAGAGGGAAGGGGGTGAGGAGGAAGAGATAGAGGAGGAAATGAATAAATAAATGAATGAATGACGGAAGGAAAAAAGGAGAACGAGAGATGAGAATGAAGAAAAGAACAAGAGAGACGGCGAGACAAAGGACAAGGAGAGGAGAAGGGGAGAACGGAATGGGGAAAAAAAAACTCGAATGAAAGAAGAAAGACGAAGGTGAACGGATGAGAAAGAGCTAAAGTGTGGAGATTGCAGGGGTGAACAGCAGCAGCAGCAGCAGCAGCAGCAGCAAGACTGTCTGGTCATGTATCATACCTTCCTAGGTTGAGTTATCAATCAATACTCCGCTCACAAGGGGTTCAAGGGACAAGAATGCCTCGGTGCCACTTTGCTAAAACCTTCCGGCTAAATGTCGACAGGCATCAACACAGATAAAGGATCGCCGCTGCCGCATTTCCTCGGGTTTCATTATCATTTCCTTGCAAAAAGAGAAGAGAAGGGAGGAGGGGAGGGGGGGGGGTGATAAAAGAAAAGGCGAGAGAGGGAAAGTGAGGGGAAGGGAGATAGAGAGGGGAAGGTGGAGTTGAGACAGAAAGGAGAGAGAGTGACGAGAGGAGGGGATGGGAGGGGAGAAGGAAGAGAGAAGAGAGAAAAAGGGAAAAGGATAGAGGAGGGAGGGAGAGAGGGAGACAGAGAATGGAGGGATGGGGGAGGGGGAGGGGGGAGGGGGAAATAGGTAACAGGGAGGATAGGATAAATAAGAGAGAATGGGGAAGTGAGGGAGAGAAAGAAGAATGAGGGGAAAATTAGGAAAATTAGCAGAAAGAGAAAGAGAGGGTGTGCGAGAGTGAAGGAAAGAGACAGAGAGAAGGGGAGGGAGGGAAGGGGTAAACGACGAGTGAGGGCGAGGCGCGCAAAAGCCAGCATAAGACGATCACGAGCAGGCCGGAGTGAATCCTTGCCGGACAGTTTATATCGTTCATCCTTCATTCAAACATCTGACAAGATGGGGAGGGGTAGAGGGGAGGGGAAGGGGGGGGGGGCTTTGGAGAAATTGCCGGCACAGACGATAATGATTTCTAACACTGAATACAGAAAGAGAGAAACGGAAAGAAGGGACTGGGACATGATGCGAAGGGAGAAATGATCTTGCTGCAAGACACTTGGGCCGGGAATCTCTTTTACATCCTTTTACTCCTTTTTTTTTTGAGTGTCTTTCTCAAACTAGGAGGCGGCGAGGGAGGGGAAGGGAAGGAAGCAAGAGGATAAACACGAGAAACGAGAGGGGCGCAACAGTGCTACTTGACTAGCATGTACAATTCCTAGCTGTGATACGTCAGCGTCCGCAGATCAGTGCATTCTCATCCGCTCTTCCAACCACCACAAATAATCCCAATCGAGAGGTAAAACAAAGAGACAAAGAAAGAAGAAGCTTCCCTTGTCCTCCTGCTCACCCCCCCCCCCCCCAAGCGCCTCCCTGACCCAGCGTTGCCACCCGTCCGCCTTCAAGCGGTGCCAATGTCAAGAATTCCCGGCGAGGCGGATCATAACCCCCTGCATCACTGCACGCAGTTGCCAACCACCAGCTGGGATTGGGTGGAGAGCGAGGGAGGGGGGAGGGGGTAATAAATAAACAAGCAGAAAGTAGTGAACAAAATATGGTGACTGTGACTACATGATTGCGGGAAGCCGAGTATAGTGCCATTAATCGTTATAAACCATGCTAAATATTCATGACCAATTATTATCAAATCAAAATTTTATGGGCATAATGCTATCAACTGACGCGAACTCGAGCTACATGAACACGAAATTGAACATTTATTCGTGCCACTGTCATTTGTTATACTCCTATTCTAAATGTCAAAATGGAATCATAAAAATGAAGTTGCAAATAGAGCCTTCAAAGCAAAGACAAAGGGGAAACCGGAAAGAACTAAGGCGGGGCAGGCCATGACACAAAACCAGAACCTACTGGGAAGACCCCCGCGGCAGGAGCACCCAGCCGCCCCCACCCCGCCCGGCCTGCCCGAGGAGAAGGCACCAAGACGCATGTACTCACCGCCGCTCTTGAGCAGCTCGGGCGCCAGCAGGTTGGTGAGGTCAGGATCGTCGCCGTACCAGAAGACCCAGAGTTCCTTGGGCGAGTGCCTGAGGGAGTGGCGGTGCTGGTGCTGCTGCTGCGCCTGGTGCTGCGTGGTGGGCATGGGCTCCTGAGGAACGCGCCAAGTCCTCCGCCACACGCACAGCACGTCGGCGGCCATCATGCGGGCATAGGACACCAGCACGGGGTCCTCAAGGGGGTCAGCTGGTCCGCCCCCTCCCCCCACTCCGCCACCGCCGCCGCCGCCACAGCCACCGCCGCCGCCAGGGTTGTCCCAAGCGTACACTCGCCATTTTATTCCGCACAAGTCAGTCTGCAAATAAGGAGAAAAAACATATTTAGTCACAAGAGCCTTTGACACAAATCCGAAAATAATGTCACAAATCCAAACGGTTAAACATATTTGCTGTGACATTAATATCGCAGCTTGGACGAAGGACGACAGGTGGTTGAATGGGGACAAGAATGCGACGGGGGAATACCAATGGCAGGTGAGGACAGGTGGGGATAGAGGGGGAGGGGGGAAGAGGAAGAGATGAAATGGTAGCAAATCAGGTCGTCTGAAAACTGCAGTCTCACAGGTAAAGGCGGAGACTATAAGACATATAAGTAGCGAGAGGGTAAGGAGGTGCTCCAGCAGCGCAGCTCTGCAATCTTTCCCTTCAACCCAGCATCCCCCCCCCCCATCAAAAATCTACCCCAACCCCATCAATCCCGCCCCTCGCCCCCCTCTCGAAATCCTTACGCTCGGCCAAAAGTACTGCGCGAATCGAGAGGCGTTGAGTAAGGCAAGACACCGCGTGGTACAGCAAGCGTCAGCAGGTGTTGGGACAGGTGTTGCTACACACGCTCGTAATCAAGTCGCCTTGTTAAAGAACCCCCCCCCCCCAGCCCACACCCTCCATCGCTCTCCGCTCGCCAACGCCGTCGCCAGGACTCGCTCAACACCGAAGCATCGTGCACGGAGTCACACCTGGGGGGGAATGTGCTGATTGGCACTGCAAGTTTCCAAGTGCAAGTCGACTGCTCAGGGAAGCACGACATTTGGAATATGGAGAATCGGAAAATGAACGACGAAGAAACAGAATATAATAAAAGGAAAATAATATTTGTGCTGAACAGCCCTGCTACCCCCCTAGTGTGTGCGTATGTGTGGTTGTGTGCGTGCGTGTGTATCTGGTTGTGTGTGTGTGGTTGTATAAGCATGTGTATGTACATGTGTGGTTGTATAAGCATGTGTATGTACATGTGTGGTTGTATGTGTGCGTGTGGATGTGTGCGTATATGTGTGGTTGTATGTGAGGGTGTGGTAGTGTGTGGTCGTATGTGTGGGTGTGTGGTCGTATGTGTGGGTGTGTGGTCGTATGTGTGGGTGTGTGGTCGTATGTGTGGGTGTATGGTCGTATGTATGGGTGTGTAGTCGTATATGTACATGTGGTCGAATGTGTGCATGTGTTCGTAAGTGTGCGTGTGTGTGGTAGTATGTGTGCGTGTGTGTGGTCGTATGTGTGTGTGTGTGGTCGTATGTGTGTGTGTGTGGTCGTATGTGTGTGTGTGTGTGGTCGTATGTGTGCGTGTGTGGTCGTATGTGTGTGTGCGTGTGTGTGGTAGTATGTGTGCGTGTGTGTGGTAGTATGTGTGCATATGTGTGGTAGTATGTGTGCGGTTTTGTGTGTGTGTGTGTGTGTGTGTGTGTGTGTGTGTGTGTGTGTGTGTGTGTGTGTGTGTGTGTGTGTGTGTGTGTGTGTGTGTGTGTGTGTGTGTGTGTGCGCGTGTGCGTGTGTGTGCGCGTGTGTGCGCGTGTGTGCTTGAGTGTGAGCGCGCGCCCGTTCTGAGGCGAAGCAACAAACGGATTCGGCTTCTCGCCTGTCACCCCGCGACTACTGTTTCCCTCGCGGGGGTCGCACGTCATTCGCGACCTTGGCTCGTTCACTCCTCCAACCTGGCCTGGAGTCGTCTTCCTCCCACCTGTTCCCTCTCGCCTTCCTCTGTCATCGCGAATCCTCTCTTCCCCCGCCGCCTCTCGCTCTTCCACACCTGCGATCTCTCGTACTCCATTCCCATTCCCGTTTCCCTCTATCCTTCCGATCCCTCGCACTCCTCGTAAAGCGTCTCGTCCATCTCGCACCCCCCCCCCTCCTTCCCTTCCTATCCCCAAGCTCTTACAACTCTAGGAGTCTGACGTCACTGCGCTCTCATGCGACGTCACCAAGCACACCGTGACGTAAGGCACTTCAGAGCCAGCTTGTGTGTGCGTCTGCTCCCGTTTTCTTTAATTTCACTTTCATTATATCTATATTTTTCTCTTCGCATATATCGACGGTCATCTCTCAATTTCTCTCCTCCCCAGCTCGTTCTCCTACATTGCCTTTTCTTTCCCCCCTCTCCCCTCGGAACCGATCGCCACCGTATCCTTCCGTCTCCTTCGCCTTCCCCCTCCCCTCCCCTCCCCTTCCCCCGTCCTCCGTTACAGTTCCCCTTTACCGCATCCGGTCTCCAATCCCGCCGAGTCTCCGACCATATCCGCTTTACCCGCTTATTCATCGCAATCACCCGCGTCGCGAACTTTGAACCGTTTGTCGACCGCGCATTCCTCGAGGTAAGAGCCCTCATCGCTCTCTCCCTCCCCGTCCCCCGCCCCCGCCCCCGAGCGACCCAGTGGCTGACCGGGGGGAAAAAGACCTCCCGCTATTGCTGAGACAATCGCATTCTCCCTGTTGCAACGGCGCTATCTTTCGAACAGAAAAAAAATATTGCTTCTATCTCATTCGTGGTGACGAATACATAGTCCCATTACTCCCTCAGTTATTTGCCATAAAGTGCTGTATTTTCCACCCATCTTATTATTCATTCAATCTCACTCCGGCTCGTTGTCACCTGCATCACCTACACAACCAACACGGCCGCCTATCGCTAATAACACAACCGATTCTTTTGCAACTAACCAGACCATCTACGACCCCAATGGCCATGGCTTGCACCACCTGGCCGCGGTCATATTGAGCCCCGACGGGGTAAAGGTGCACACTGCCACCACCCCGTGACGTCACGTCGAGCGAGCAGACTGCGGATATTCAAGAGGATGTGTGCGTGCGTGCGTGCATATACGTCTGTTTTGGGAGCGTGACTCTACGTATGTTTGCGTGCTTACATACATGGCCGGGGGATGATTCATAACTAGTGGGTGAATTGATGGAATGTGACAAGTGGGAGTGAGTATGAAATAACTGATCACTTTATTG